ACTGTTCAAAATTGATGACAAAAAAATTTCACTCAATTTTTAGCAATTCTAGACCACGTAGCGCAAAACAAAGAGCACCATTAGACTCGCCGTGACGAGCTGCATCGAATCTATACCCATTTTATGCAAAACTATCAACTTTGAAATTTGACCTTTTTTACCTGACCTTTTTTGTAAGTTTAGTCCGAACCTTTTAATAGGAAGGATTCACAAGAACAAAGCCACCGCTAAGCGAAGCTTGTTGCGGTGACCCTGCCCTTTTCCCTCCGATCGCGAAATTCCAGTTCTATGGCAGAATTTAGAGTCCAAAGTTTAACGTGCGCACACAGCCGCGCACGGCCGGTCCCCTCACTGACTTCGCCTGGCTACGGCCTGCCACCAACCGCAGCCATACCTGTCAGGAGGCCCATAAATGTCAAGCGCCCGTCACGCTTCGAACCCGGACTGTTATAACCGGGAACGCGTGCTCTAACCACGCGGAGTCCAATGCTCTACTAACTGAGCTACGGGACCGGCTCATATATATCAGGCTTGTATCAGGCATATATATATTATATACCTTGACCTTACTTCCACCAGGAAGTGACCTAAACCGTTCCTGATGGTCTTATAACCAACGTCATTGAGTTTAAAATGAAAATTTGCCATAAAACATACATCACACAGCCCTAGTAAAATTGGGTTCATGTGCTGAACTGCTGACCCTTGGTGACCTGACCTGTGACCTGACCTGGTATTATCAGTGACCTCTAATAGCAACATATGTACTAGGCAACTGACGCCCTATCGTTGATTTTCGATAAAATGCGTTATACTCGATGTTATAGCGCATTCCCTAGAACACCAGTGACCGACAAAACATTTTATCTTTGACCTGACCTGTGACCTCATCGGTGACCCCGAGGTCAATGAAATTGGATTCCTTACGACAAATTTGATAGGGCTTTCGAACGCCGTTTGAATTTTGCAGATCTGTCCAGAAGTTTCGGAGATACTGGGGGGGAGGGGGCAAAAAATGGCCCCCCCCCCCCCACACCACCACCGCCAGGTCGCGTTATAAACGGACCCCACCAGGGCGCGGGTTAAGTTTGAATATTGTGAATAAGACTTTTATAATAAGCTGGGGGTCCTTGACACAGGTTAAGGTCAAAGGTCATTTGGGTCAGAGTCATACAATTTTCAGGATACCTATTGGTCAAATTGATTAACTCGAGAGCACTGAAAGTTTCATCGGGATTGGGCGTTTTTCTCGAGTTATTCGCGACAGACTGGGGGGGGGGGAAGCAAATTGCAGTAAATCTGACCCCCTCCCCCTATTAGTGCGAAGGCTAGTCCTGAATTGCAAATGGTAATTCATAACACTCTAATTCAGAGTTCAGACCAACTTGCAGGCAATCGAATATCGACCCTCTGTTTATGCTACCTAGTCTTGCTAATGCAAATGCTGAGTTTGAAACGTGTGTCTCCTGTACGAATATTGCTAACATATGCACTGGCTAACTTGTCATGGACATGGGTCATGACTGTCACGCTTTTTACAGGTAACATCCGCAATCAAGTGATGTACACCGTGACAACATGGAACATCAATGGGCTTCGTTCTGCAAAAGATCTCAAACAGATGCTCGACAAGCTGGATTCTGACATAATATGCTTCCAGGAAACGAAAATCACACGTATGTTTAGGAAGACTTTTATCCAATAATTACGTACCTATCACAACAAATCTGCTTGATATCGTTCATCGGATGCTGGACAGATGTAGGCTCAAAGGCACCAGAGAACATTTGGTACAAAAGTCTTTAGAATGGATTTAAATGTTCTGTGCTTTTCCTGTTACCAGTATTTGACAATCAACATATTTATTTAGTTTATGATGACTTAGAGCATGATATGCGAATGTGTTCACATATCTACCACCGTACTGTTAATGCCTGCACTTAGTCCTGATCAGCCGCCGCCTGCCCGCTGTGCCTTCAGGTGAGATGCTTTCGGAGCCTCTGGCCATCGTCCCCGGCTACACTTCCTACTTTGACTTCAGTCGGCGGCGCAGCGGGTACTCCGGTAAGACTGGACCTCGTAGCGAACGTCACCGGCTTCTTGGCTCTGAACTTCATTTCTCCTAGACCTACAACCTCTGATGACGCTGGCATTTTTGTGACCGCGACGTCCTGCCCTATGTTCGTCGGTCAGCAACTGAATGTTACGTTCCCTCAAATGAGAACTCGTCACCTTCCGTTGACCTCGCGCTGTGTCCAGGGGTGGCGACCTACTGCCGCCAGTCGGCCACGCCGTCGGCAGCCGAGGCGGGTGTGGCGGGCTCGGGCGTCGACACCGACTCTGTGGGCTGCTACGGCGAGATAGGCGCCGAGCTGGAGCCGGCGGAGCGGAAGGAGCTGGACGGCGAGGGACGCTGCGTGATCACCCTGCACCGCACCGCCTGCCAGGTGACCATTTCGCACCTCTGCCGCCGCCTAAATACGGTGTTAAGATCAAAGATGTTTGATCGTTGCGATGGCAGATGTCATGATGAAAGCGTACCGTGATGATCCGGGTCTTGATACTTTTCATGGCACAGAATCATATCCTTAACGCATGACTAGGGTCATTAATTGGTCACAGGATCTCCATGTTCCGTGGTTGGATAGTCACATTCCCGTATCGTGCCGATGATCGTCTCTCAGGTCCGTCGTATCCGCAGTGTCCCAGCTCCTCCGAAGACCGTCCCTGCCACGTGGCCGTGCTGAACGTGTACTGTCCGCGCGTGGACCCGGACCGACCGGAGCGGCTCGCCTACAAACTGCTCTTCTACCGGGCACTGAGACTGCGTGCTGCAGCGCTGCGGGCCGCCGGTCACCACGTGCTACTGGTGGGGGATCTCAACTGCAGTCACCGACCCGCAGATTCGTGTGACCCCGGAGACCTGAAGGTGAGTGCCGCGAGAAAGATGTGCGTGGGTATAGGTAGACAGATCGTATTAATCTACGGGAGGGGAGGGACAATATCTTTCATTTTCATTTATGAGCACGCTGATCAGTATTTCCTAAATGTTTGCTACTCTGTATGCACCGTATGCAGTATGCACCATAGATCTTACCTATATAACCACAGTAGGTGTTACTGCCAAATGTTTTGGTGCTCCATGCGCCCTGCGCCTAAATTCTTTGAATGTGAATCTAAGCAATGCGCTTGCAGAGTAGAACGAAATCTGTCAGCGACCAAAATCTAACGGTGCCTGTCTTCCCGCGTGACTCAGGAGTTCGCGGCCAGCCCGAGTCGCCGGTTCCTTGACGACTGGCTGTGTAAGCCGTCCGCTGCCGAAGCTGCCGCTCCCGACCAGCTAGTGGACTCGTTCCGGCTACTGCACCCGGCTGCTACAGAGGTCTACACGTGCTGGAACACCCAGCGCGCTGCCCGTCAGCTCAACTTCGGCACCCGTATCGACTACGTGCTGTGCGACGCGCCGGCGGCCGCGGCCGGGCTCGTGTACCGCTGTGACGTGCTGGCTGATGTACAGGGCAGCGATCACTGTCCGGTGCGAGCGACCATCGGGGCTCGGCTGGAGGCCGCCGGTCGGCCACCGCCCGCCTGCACGCGCTACTACCCGGAGTTTGCCGGCCGACAGCTCACCATCAAACAGTGGTGCTCCGGTCAGGCCCCTGGTGGAAAGCGTCCCCCACAGCAGCCGGCGCAGAGACAGGCCGGAAAGCGCGCCCGAGGCGGACAGGCCACGCTGCTCGGGTTTGTGAAGAGGAGCAAAGTGCCTTCGTCGGACAGCGGAGGAGGTGGAGGGAAGGATCAAGACACAAAAGCACAGTCAGACGAGCTCAGAGACCACAGGCCACAGTCTTCTGACAGGGTTTGTGCGGGCGAGAGTGATCAGACGCCTGAGGGCGGCGCGGCGACGGCGAACGGCGGGGCCGTGGAGTCGTCGGACAGCTCCGGAGGCAGCAGCTGGCAGAGCACTCCGACAGAGCCTGACGGCGCAGAGCGGAAAGTCGCGGCGGCGGCTGCGGCGTTCTGGAGCGAGACGCTGCGCGCGCTCCGACCGCCGCCCTGCCGCGGACACCGCGAACCGTGCGTGCAGCGCGTGGTCAAAAAGGCCGGCCCTAACCTGGGCAAGCAGTTCTGGTGCTGCGCGCGCGGTGTGGGTAAGCCCGGCGACCCTGAGGCGCACTGCGGCCACTTTGAGTGGCTCCGTCGCGGCGGCCGCGGGCGCTCCAGCGACGTCACAACTGCTGTGGCTGGATCGGTGGCGTCGTAAGGTATGAGAATCCGCGGCCCGTGGTGGGTGGGTGGATGTCCTCGTGACTGACGGAGTGCGTCGGTTTTGTGATTGGGTTTTAATGATTCGCTTAGTGTTTTCAAAGTCGGCCATTCTCGTGTGTCACGTCAAGGTAGGTGAGTGAGGCATAGTACTTGGCGGTACGGGTTCGATCCTTGTGAAGCATTTCCAGGGCCCTGCATTGAAAATGTTCACATCCATCAACATATTATTATTATGCATATTTCATATCGTAGTTGGAACAAATACAGTGCATGACTTTGTAACTCTACTCCCTACTAAGAAACGATCAAATTACAAACTAGCTGAAACGGTTATCACTTTCAATACCCAACAGCGAGATGTTTCGGTAATGGTGGCTTCTGAACCCGAATTATTCAAAAGCTCATAATAGGAGCTTGAGTTTGCTGTAATAGGAATACAGCCGCAATGCCACTGCTACAACTGTGCATCAGTCGAAATGATATTACGCTGACGGATTACGAATCTTCGCAGTATGAGAGGGTAGAGAGTATGAGGGGAGAGCTTGAAAACATTTTCGATCGAACGCTTGGTTCCAAATGGCAAATACGTCTCTTTCATTTAAGACTTGTCCGTGATAAAAACTTACCATTGTATATCAATCACCCACACAGCAAGAATATTGACTACTTAGTCCTCGACATTGCAGCCACTGACATGCTATTGGCTCCGTTCCTATATTAAACACCAGACGTAGTCGATATGTGTGTGTATATTAAAACTAGCTATAATCTCATCTCATAACAGATGACACGGCATAACAAATGGTTGTGCTCGACCGACATACCAAGCACACTCAAATCCCTCTGACAAAAATACGACTACATTATGGAAGAGCCGCCAGTCCGGGGGCCGGACGTGCGAGACATCCCCACCCGACCTGTTTCAAAATCAGACACCTTGGCCTCCGCTGTCCGCACAGGGCATATTCTGACCCGGACCTTCACTCCACATGCTTTAAAGTTGAATGGGGAAAGTTTTCTGTAGACTGAAGCAGGAAATTCGACAGGATTTGGAATGTAACTACAAACGTTGCTAGCCTGAATGCAACACAACTTTGCTAAACATTTCGTACATTCTTAATGTAAGAAGCAAGACCATTCTTTTTTAGTGAAAAACGGGTTGCGTGCCGCGTATCTTAATTTTCATTAATTATAGTAGCTGATATTGACACACCATTGGTATTGTCTAGTCAATAAAACTGGCATCAGAGCGCGGGCGCCGGGCATGGACCGTTGCTTTCACTGCCAGGCTTGTAAAGCTCAGATGATCTGACAGCGTTAGGCAACCCAGTCAAAGTAGCTGCCTACTGATAGAACTGCATAATTCACTGCAGTTATTGTGGATCAAAACTTCAGAACAGTGATATCGAGTTCCGGCCGACATGACTGGCTTATTATGACTTAAATAACTGTCGAATTCAATAAAAATGTCGAACAAGAAGTCGCTAACGTCAGGAGACAATAGGTTACAAGTTTGCGACACATCAACAGTATCACAGTAAGATTACAGGACACAGGATTGAGATTCGAGTCCCGATTCCAAAGAATCCGAACCCTCGACTCTATTCACGCGCGCCGACCGCGTGCTCTGACCAATATCCTCGCGGCGTTACTCTTCACCAAGACCCCACCCCACATACTGATCAATTGCTCCGTCCCTCATCCCTTTTGGCCTTCACGTCCAGTCACGCCCAGCTTTTGAACTAGACATTATCGATAACAGTGAACAAGCGCCCTCAAATTGCGGTAAATATTTGTTACTGGGTCCTGAGGAGCACCCATTACGAACCACCGTTCTGTGTCGGTGAATACCTATAGCCATTCCGGCGCGTCAAAGCTGATCGTGGCTCCAGAACCACACTGAAACGATAACGATTTCTAAATCTATCCGCGGACCTGCGCTCACCCAACCGCTAAACTCAGTGCAGGAGGCGCAAACTCACACAACAAACGTAACAAAATCGGCCGCGCCGGATGGACACACCTTTGTGAGAACACTACCCCGGTGACGGCAGAACCTCACTAACTTCACCGGCAGGTCGGCCGTCGTCGAGACCAGGCCCGGGCAGTCGGCTCGGCAGTCAGATCACAGGGGGGCGACGGCGGCGGCGGGGGCGGCCGGTCACCAGGGCGGTCGGTGCGTCGGACTGCCGCCGCCCAGACCCATCGTCACACTGGTGACGTCCTTGACGATGAGGTTGGCCACCCTCCACGCCATCTCCTCTTGTACCTGCAGAAGGATATAGGGATGAGCTCGTAACTTGTAAAAGACATCTGTAGTCTGAAATTGAATCAGTTTGAAAGATAGTCAACTACTATACGTAGCATTTTCATTCCTTCCCGCCTTTTTCAGTGCAGAAGGAGTGAAACCAGGCGACACGTTTTATCGGCCAGTTCAATTAGTCCGAATGCCATAAGATTTTGTGACTATTTTCATGAAATATTTAGCGGCTATTTTCAAAGTAGAAATAAGGGACAGACTAGGCAGCGATAACTCTTCCGCATATGTCGCGATACGAATCTTGCATATGTCGTACCTTGTTCTCGTCGTGCCTGAGCAGTGACTTGACAGCCCTGCGGAGCGCCGACGGCCGGCCAGCGTCCGGTTTCGGTTCCAGATGAGACTCGTAGCGACCCACGTGGTTCACGTGGCCGATGCTCAGCCTGTTACAGCGAGTGAACAAAGTTAGAAGAGGGCACCGGTCACGGAGCACGAGCCAAACAAGGGAATAAGTAAAACGTTAAGAAATTTGCATATGGTCTGAACAGATTGTATCAGTGGCGCATTGTGGTAACAACTGTACCTTGACTTCCGCATTTAGTCGGATTTTGTCACGGCGAATGCTTATGATTATGAATTATGCATGACCGGTCCATAACTCCCGAATCCAATTAATCTAGTAAAGTGCACACAATATTCCAACTCTAGGTCACCGTCACACCAGAAGGCATGCATCACCCAATTGAGCCCTGCAGCCTGCACTATGACGCGTCTGTATTTGTATTTGTATTTGTATTTGTATTTGACAGTTAAAACACTCTCCACAGTAAAGTGGCTATTCCGAGTGTCGCGTCACGGTTAAAAGGAAAAACAAGTTAAGATACACTCATCAATCACATCAAACAGAACACAATTCAAATCACACATTCATCCTTAAACACGCAGATACAACTCGGAAACAGAGCGTTTAAAAGCTCCCAGAGGGAGATGTCTAATGTCATGGGGCAGACGGTTGTACAACTGGGCTATGCTGTAGAGCAGGCGCCGCCTCCCTGCTTCGGTTCTCACGCGTGGGAGAGACAGATCAGTGTCCCGCCGGGTTGAGCGTGAGCGAAGGGAAGAGTTGGCCAGGATTTGGGAGAACATAGTATCCGGCTCTTCGGTGCAGCGTATTTTGTGGAGGAAGTTAAGAGAGTGGATTTCGTACAACTGACGGGCGGTAGGCCAGCCCAGTTCCTCTCGCACGTCCGATATGTGGTCAAATTTTCTTCGGCCGGACACAACGCGCAGCGCAAAATTGAGAACTTTTTGGAGGCGTTGTGTGTTTTTGTCCGACCCGTTTCCATAGACCGAGAGACAATATCGGACGTGCGAGAGGACCAAGGCGCTGACCACAGTAGGCAGAAGTTCACAAGGGATGTGGTGACGCACGTGGGACAGCCCAATGAGGATACCGTTGCATTTTTGGACGAGGGCCGATACGTGAGCGTCCCAGGTGAGGTGCTTGTCGAAAACCACGCCAAGGTTCCTCACCGTGGGGCCCTCACGGATCGTGTCCTCACGGAACCGAATTGAGATGGGATCCAGGCTGCGGCAATTTTGGCGCGAGCCAAAAACTATGAGCTCAGTTTTAGCTGTGTTAACTTTTAAGCCGTTGGTATGAAACCAGGCATCAAAAGAGTCCAAAATTTGTTCTAAAGTGGCGATGAGATGAGGGAGGGAATCTTTTTTGCCAGAAAGTAGAATTTGGGTATCATCAGCGTACTGCACCACGTGCGCCCCGGGAGCGAAAAGAGGGAGGTCATTGGCAAATATTTGGAACAGGAGCGGGCCCAGCGAGGATCCTTGGAACACGCCGATAGGATTGGGTAGAGGATCGGAGAGGACTCGGTTTCCTCGCCCGTCAGTTGTGCAAACTGATTGGGAATGGCCACGGAGGTAAGAGGAAAACCAGGTCGGATCGATAGAATAGGTTTGAAGTTTGGATAGTAGCTTTGAGTGGTCGATGACGTCAAAGCATTTGGAGAGATCGAGGAGACATAGGAGAGTGAGTTCCTGACGGTCGGTGGCAGAGAGGATGTGATCGGATACGGTGGCGAGCGCGGTTTCTGTGGAGAGACAAGAGCGGAAACCGTGCTGGGATGAGGAAAATAGATGGTTGCCAGACATGTAGGTGTACAGCTGCTGCTGAGCAACTTTTTCTACAAGTTTGGCAAAGGCAGGAACAATTGAGATAGGTCGATAGTTGGATGGATCAGTAGGATTGCCCGCTTTGTGGATGGGGTGGACGATATAATAAACACTACCGCCGTCCGCACCCGCCCAGTGCAGTGGCGCTGCCAATTCCCGGTAGCTGCACTGACCCATAGTAGCGGCGCCGGTGCAGCTGTCCGGGGTCCTGGTGGGACCAGCGCTCTGGCACCGAGCCGCCCGTCACAGAGGAGGCCAGGTCGCTGCTGCACGTGCTGACCGCGTCTGGAAACGGAGGAAGATACAGCGGTCATTCGTCTGACGTTTGAGGTTCGGCCATTAAAAGGTCTTTTTCGGGGAAGGAGACCAAGTTTACGGTAGAGAACAATCATGGCACCAATCCCGGAACGAACGTTTATATGGGTTACGACGGCAAATCGGCACATCTTCGTGATACGCAGCCAAATCTACTTCTACATTATGCATAACTTTGAAAGGTCAAGATATCGATTCGACCGTACTCGATACCCCAGACAGTGCAATACCGGGGCAATACTGTGGGATAAATTCTAAACACAGAAGTCATAACACGATGAACGCCGTATAAAGCGTAACTATAGCGTAACACGACAGAATATAGGAGGAAACGAATGCCCTTGAAAATCGTGACTGACCTGTCTTATCGTAGAACGGTCTGGCAGGGTGTCGAATGGTGTTCACTAAACCCATGACGTACTTGAAGAACGCCTGCGAGTTCAGGAATGCTGCCAGGTAGCGCTGTAAGAGCGAAACGGGCTGTCAGATTGCATGATACATGTAGCTTTAGCAGTAAGTGCCAGTCTCTAGAGTTATCATTGCAGGCTGCCGGCTGAGGAGGTCGATACTGGGGAAAGGCTGGAGGGGGAAGGGGGGGGGTCTGAGGGAGGGCGCAGGAAAGCGACCTTTCCATGCTAGATAGCGCTTTTTTAATGGAAATGTCAGCCAACAATTAGCGATATTGATGTCTCAGGTAGATAACTTGCAACCTAAAACTTGCAGAGGCATCTATTTAACTGATCGACATTAACTAACGAACTCGACCTTTTACTAATTCAACCCGATGGATAGCTGCAGTTATCACGATCATAGATTGGAGACACCCCTCATGGAGCTCCACAGCTCAGCGCGTACCGGTCCCATCACCGGCAGTCTGACCTGTTGTAGGACATTGTGCAGCACCAGCATGGGTCGGAGGAAACACTCTGGCAGCGGCCCGCCCTCCCGGCAGATGTTGAGCTCCAGCTCTGTCCGCGTCTCCTGACCGAACCCCAGCGGACAGACGGCTTGCAGAGAGAAGTACCTGGGGAGAGGGTAACTCCGTCACTGCTGGTTACACATAGCTCATGAAAACGTGCGTCAGGAACTGGGGATAGGTTGGGCAGTGATGATACTGGCCGTACAGAGGGGGATATACCTACAGCGACGATACATGGGCTACATCATGGGACGAGATGATACACAATCTATCTAATTGTGGGTGTCAAGTTACCGTGACCCGTTGGCCGTTAGCCTTGCGTCATTAGGACAAGTGACAGTGATATGCTGGAAGTTTATTTGACTAGGTATCTGGATCGATGACAAGATACTATTCATCGCATTATGCCACAAGAATGGCACAAGGAAATGGCGATCGGCAGCAAATGAGCGAGTCAAAGAATGTTTTCCTCGTATTTCGCTCCAGCAGTAAGGGCAAATTCCCATGATTATAGGAAAATTCCCATGTCGATAATACTGCACACAATGACATCAACGAGCAACACACCCAATAACATATTTCTTCAAGCAATGCATAGTGATGCAGCCTCAACCTCCATTTGTTTCCATACATGATCATCGCCGAAGCATGGATGAGCCATGTGGTATTTCTCACCCAGGAGTCAGAGCGAATCGACTCACTTCGTGGAGGAAGCGACTCACTTTTCGTAGAGGATCATGGCGTCGCCCTGCGTCTGCTCGGGGTCACCACGGCCATCCAGCGCGTACAGCTGGTCCCGGAAGTTGTTGGAAGACATCCAGAACTCGATGTAATGCGCCAAACCCTCCTGCTCCATAAACTGCCGATAAACATCCCGCGTCAGCACACATAACCGGAAAACAACGCAACTCAAACATACACAAAGTGAAAGAAGTTGAAAATCATAATAGCAGAGACAAATCTAAATGTCTCACCTCCATGAACATGAACACGACCGTCTCGTTGAAGAGGATATCACAGATCTCCACTGAGCTGCTGGTGAGCACGTCCACCTGGTAACACTGGTAGTGGTCGCTCTGCAGAAACTCCGGCACGTGGCTGGCCGAGAGGGCCGCGGCGGCCGCCTCCTGGGCGCGGGTAGCCAGCTCCGACCCCGCACCACCCTCTGGGCCAGCGGCGGCGGCGGCGGCGGCGGCGGCGCGCAGCTCGGCCGGCACTCGGAGCTGCGGGCCCGACTCGCTGACCAGGTACCGCTGCAGGAGCTGGGAGAGCGCCGCCGCGGCCGGCAGCTCGCCGTTACGCGGTCCGGCCGGCTCCGGCTCGCTGCCGGGGGTGGTAGTCTCAGTGTCCAAACGCCGCCGGATGGCCTCGGCCTCCATCCAGAAGTGCAGGTATCCGGCCACATGTCGGCCCTCCAGGAACGACGTCAGGTAACCCAGGGCGCACTTGTCATTGGCCAGACAGCGCAGGGTCTTGGTCAACCTCTGGCTGATCAGGTGTTCCTTCTCTGCATCTGTGAGAGGATCCACAATCATAGGTAACAGGAATATACAAAAATGACAGTGATGTTTCCAGAACTTTAGGAAATGCCTAATCTTGGTGGTTCTCTTTTTAGGGTATCTTTAATGAATTTAAAAAAAAATTCATTTAATCATTTTAAGTTAATTTAACTGGATAACAAAAAAAAATATATTCCTAGTAAAAAGCATAATATGCTGAAAAATGGCCAGTGGTCGCTCTGCCATTGCCATTGCCAGCCATCAGACATGAGTCCAATATCCTTGCAAGTGGGCAAAAACAAAGTATATGCCTGCATCTAAGATGACAGGTCACAGCTCTTAATTGTCTGGGAAAATGCAATGATCAGAATTATTGTTGAGTTCAGGTGCAAATATGAAAATATGAGGGGTAAAATTATAGAATGAGAGCATCTAAATACCTGTGACATTAGACCACCTGTTTTCTTCCTCCCTGATAGCTGCTAAAAAGCTTGCTTGTGGGTCAGGAGAGCCAAGTGGTGACTTGGGCTGAGGTGTGACACACTTCTCCACTGGGCAGGATGATGAACTGGATATTGAACTGTTCCTGGAGTGACCTGGAAAGAGACACAAATCACAATAACTGTTACATATTAAACCATACAGTCACATGTAACATTGATCAGCAGGAGCATACAAGTTGTTCACAAGAGACCAAAACCTATGTTCAACATGCATTTTCCTTCACTGGGGCGTACTGTAAGTGGGAAAAAGTTAAATCATGTCAGAAAAATTGTATTGCCAACCAGAAAACAAAAGCTTTATTAATAAGCATCAAGCCTAGTTTGGTGACACTAAAAATATTACAGCTAGGATTTGTGAATGGAAACTGGCATTTTTGGTAGGACAAACGCATCCAGCATTGCCACTGACTACACAAGATAAGTTAAATGTATCAGCATCAAGTTGTGTAAAATAACACTGAATCAACTGTTCAATCTTATCATTTATGACATGATTTATCTACATGCTTGGTAGCCTACTTTGAGCTTATCAGATGACTTACTTTTGAACTTTCTCTTGAAGAATGACATAGTGTAGCTCCAGTCAGAAAATCCTAGCTTTGATGAACCACTACACAACAAACATCACTGCTATCATTTCAGATGAAATGCAACCATTTGATTTTACTGACAGGATAAAAGAACCCTCAAGTATGCCAAGTGGCCGATCCCATGCTCATTGAAATGATTCCCATTACATCCCATTACCAAGGCCCATTACATTTAGCATTAGCGGTTTATATAGCCTTGGCATTAGCGCATTTGTCATAAGACGATGCGAAATGCTGTTCAGAACTGATGAGCGCTGCGGTTCATGGTATGTGATGCAGACAAAATACACAAAAGAGCATTTGTGACTCGGCTAAAAAACATAAAATATAATTGAAATGCGTTTTTATTTTATTGATACTTTCTGAATGATGAATTTTATCTAAAAAATGAAGAACTAACAGCAATGCTTGCTTGGAGCTTTTGGATTGACAGCTCAAAAACTCCTGAAAGAACAAAACTTCTTTCTGTTTCATGTATGGCGCAACAAGGACATTTGTAACGCAAGAGATTTCTTGTGGCTTTATTTTGATTCATTGCTTTCGCGTTTTAGGTCCTTAGGCTGAGACCTTAGGTCCAAGGTAAGTTTCGCGTATTGTGCTACGAAAATGCCATTTTAATGCAATTGATTTGCTTCAGCGCATCCTAGTGATAATTATTGCAATATTGCATCTGTGAGTCGGTAGAGAACATGATATTGCTTTATGTTTACCTGATTTAAACTGAACCTTAAAACAAGCACAAAACAATATTTCAGCACATTTCTGTTCCCCATAAGTTTCTCTCACACATTTTTGAAGATTTGATAAACAGACAAGCTCCTAACAGGAAAAATTAAGGTGTATAGTGAGCAGTTCTTTGAAGTCGACCATGACAACTTGAACTGCATCAATCTGGGCATTGCCGAATGTATTGTCATTTATCTGGCAAGATGGCTGCAGGCTGATGCAGTTAGCCGCTTAATTGTTAAATGTTTATGTTTTATAGTATATTTCAATAAACTTTTCACAAGAATTCTGCAGATCCAGTTGCCTATATAATCCTCAAGTTTCCTTGTGGTTTGTATACCCTTCACACTGCCAGACAGCAGACATGATGAACCAGGTGAATGACAGGTGGCAGGCCATGTGAAAGTTTACAGATATAGTACCTAGGTATCTGAGTAGACTGAATATGCTGCTGATATATTTTATTTTAGTTAACTTCCTGATCATATTTTTTTAGCAAATGATAAATGTGAATAGGGCATTTATTCTTTCAGGCTTCAAACTGAGGCATTCCATTTTTTTTTAGGAAAACCTAATAAATGCTCATGGTACCTATTTATAGTCACCGTGATGGTACCTAATCAGAATGACGGTAAAGACCTGGGCTTTGAACAGTAGGAAGGGGTGGATACTCACTTCCCCAGCTAGATACAGCAAAATGATAAATGATGGCATTGGTGCATCTGACCAGTTTCATTTTTCCTGGAGCCAGCGTCTTGGACATGAATCAGTTCAGCACTGGGGATTTGTTCCCTTGTGTACAGGTGCGATCATAACACAGCAGACATTGAGAGGCAGGACTACTTTTCATCCTCCCCAACTCTGTTCATAGGCCTTGAAGTGACACACCATAAGCGGCATGGGAAAGACAAAATTCAAAGTTATGGTTTGGCCTAAAGCCCGAACTAAGTAGTTGTCTCTAGTGTGTATAAACGGTCAGAATGAAGTTTTTTCTGGAAAATTTGCTTCTGCAATCTGTTATGCATTTTCACAATATAATTCCACACACAACTTGTATGCCGTATGGCATTGATTATAATTGGTTGTACCGGCAGCATATTTCTCTTGTGACGCGAATGAATTATCTATTCCTACATTGACTGTTAATGTCAGCTTGGAAAATGACGTAGAGATAAGGTCATGACCTAAGTACCTTAAAAGGTCATGTTGCGTATCTTTGATTCGTTTTATTGAGTTGAACTCATCCAATGTGCTTTCATCGCTCTAGCATGCCCTAATCAGAAGCTATCGCAAAAAAACTGCTAATGACCATTAATGACCTAAGATGACCTCAGGTTTAAGGTGAGTCATGGGTTCGATTTTACAATTCAGTGTTCTTACTTCAGTCTAGTAAATGTCGATAGGTAAGAAATCCGACTCTTATTGAATAACTTGTTTGGTTTCGGCGAATAAATTCGGGCATTCGTAGCTCGCACGCAATTGTTTTACACCTACTCGTCAAATAACCCCGAAGCACGTCTTTTATGCGAAATCCAAGTCCCAATCCCAGCTAGGGCCGGGTCTGACCGGCTCGCTTACCAAACCTTCCGAAATTATAATTAAACGGGTTCGGGTCCGGTTCGAGAAGTTCAACTCTTGCCTCTACTAGTTACGTCAACTTTTAAGAAGGTGATCTATTTCGAGGAATGGTCATAACTCACAGATTGACAGAGCCGTGCTATTTTAAACACAATTACCCGCGGCAGGCGCCAAGTGTTCCGAGCAATACGACCCTCGGTCTCGTATTTCGGTTGTCAGCCGCGGCTGCTGCGTTATCTGAGCCGCAATCTGCGGGCTGTCCGGGACTCGGTGTTTGGTGACACGTCCGATAGACGATCAGCCGCTGATCGGGGGGCCTGTCTGTAGCCTGTACCCTACCCAGTCTGTCCGCGTGCCTGTCTGTCGGACAGTCGGTCACCCGTCGCGGAGTGAGACACTCTGTGTCTGTGACGTGTGAGGTGTGCCGGTCAGGATATGTTTGGTGGGTACCGCCGTGGTGGAACTGACGGGACCGCGGCTGTCCCACAGAGTCGGACGTCGTCTCGCCGTCCCACCACCTCTGCCGCCGCCATGTCCGACAAGACCAAGGCCAGCAACGATGTGTTCGTCTTGGGTGTTGGAATGACCAAGGTGAGGAGACGATTCAGACCGAGTCGTAAAAAAATATTGATTGACGCTTAGTCGGTGAAGTTGAGCTCTGTTATCTGATCTCGTGTACGACAGCTGATTGTTAAGTCGACGCTAGTCTAGCAGACTTCTGGCACGACAGGCACATCTCGTCAACACGAAAAATATGAAGTCGTGAGACTGGATTAACTTCTGTTTAGTGTTGATTCGTGAGCTGGGACTTACATCTGACCTCATGCTTCCTCTGTAGATCATGCAGTCATGGTCACAGTTTTAATAATAAACTAACGAAGACGAACTCATCCCATGAGCTAAGTTGACATTTGAGGACATAATATCATCGCATGTATTGTCAACTTTCTCTTATTGATTTTCCGTCAGTATAAGCCATCTCTGACCCCGATTTCCAACCAGCCTGTCTCTCCATCACGCGATGTTCTCCCAGGACACTGACTGTCCGTATGTCCCGACAGTTTGAGAAGCCGGGCCGGCGGGCCGATTTCGACTACCCGGAGATGGCCGCTGAGGCGGTGACGAAGGCGCTCACTGACGCCGGAGTCGAGTACACCGCCGTCGAACAGGCCTACGTCGGCTACGTCTACGGTGCGTGTAGATAACAGCACAACGGATAAAGGGTTTGCTTTGGTAATATACCATGGGGTGTAGCATGAACGCCTATAAGTGCAGTTCATTGTGTCACTACAAACATCTGCTTTTTTTAAAATGCCTGTCCCTCGATTTTCTACTGTTTCTGTTTTTGACATCGATAGGTTTGAACCAAGAATCAAATGATGTAAGCTGCTTACCGTAGATCGTTATGTTTTATTATGTAGTGTGCTTAAATGCTTAGTGTTTGACTGTAACCGATATAATTCCGCCACAGGCGACTCGACGTGCGGCCAGCGCGCCCTGTACCCGGTCGGTATGACCGGCATCCCCATCATCAACGTCAACAACAACTGCGCCACCGGCTCCAGCGCGCTCTACCTGGCCTTCCAGGCGATCCGCGGCGGTCAGACGCACTGCGCGCTGGCGCTCGGCTTCGAGAAGATGCAGCGGGGCTCACTCAGCTCGCAGGTAGGTTTGCAGTCACATGTGTTCATTTGAAATTAGATTATGCTGATTAGAGAGTAATTTCATTGAAGTGTATAACTTAGAAGGTTTGTGGAAACTGTTGTCGGTTGTGGCCTCACCAAGTAGGGGTATTCCATTCTGTAATGCCATTTTGTCCAGTGTTGAATGATTTACTCTTCAGGCTCGCAACAGCCGGTACGATTGTCCTTTTATTAGTTTTAATTTCACCTCAGTGTGCAAACTGTGCGTGCCTGGCGTCTTTAATTTTGTCCTCAGAGTGGTATTGTGATAATCCCGAACGCCGTTTCTGTTTCAGTTTTCGGACCGGACCAACCCGATGGACCGTCACGTGGAGATGATGTGCGAAGTCACCGACATGGAGGCCGGCCCCATCACCGCCCAGATGTTCGGCAACGCCGGCCGAGAGCACATGGCCAAATACGGCACCACCGAACAGCACTTTGCCAAAATCGCCTGGAAGAACCACAAACACTCGGTGGACAATCCGTACTCTCAGTTCCGCGACGAGTACAGTCTGGAGCAGATTTTGTCAGCACCCACCGTGCACGCGCCGCTCACCAAGCTGCAGTGCTGTCCGACCTCTGACGGCGGTGCCGCGGCCATCCTCGTCTCCCGCCACTTCTTGGAGCGGTGCGCCGGCGCGGTGGCGCGTGCCCGTGCCGTCCGCGTGCTGGGCGTGCAGATGACCACCGACCCGCCGAGCTCACTCTCCGAGAAGAGCTGCATGAAAATGGTGAGAATCGCTGTACACCGATTGTTTGATACTTGTTTGTAGCGCTAGCTGAAATGCTTCGACTCAAGAACTTGTAGTTCTTCGTCGTAGTCGTAGTTCAAAGATCCATATTTATTCATAACAAATGTGCAATGAAAGATATGATATGATGCGGCGTTTGATCATGTCTCGTTTTTTCTTCGTGCTCTCTCTATTTACACGTATTCACGTTTGTCTTACTGCACTGATCAGTTACTCCCTAGTTTTAGTAGGTATCTACTATCTAATGACCGTTTATGTGTGACACCGCTCCCCTCCCTTCACCACAGGTGGGGTACGACATGACCCGTCTGGCGGCACAGCGTCTGTTTGACCAGGCCGGCCTGACCCCGGCCGACGTGCAGGTGGTCGAGCTACACGACTGCTTCTCGGCAAACGAGCTCATCACCTACGAGGCGCTCGGTAAGGAAGAGTATGGCTCTCAGGATGAGCTATGGCAGAACAGAGCGTAGGATCTGGGTGTTGTTATTGTTGATTTTGTGGAGGGTTTTAGCTGCTGGCTGTTATTAAGTGCTACTTGTAGTCTGCACATAATTAGGTTTCATTTCATATGGCTAGGGGTTCATTTTCATTTAACGTTCATTTCCATTTTCAGTTAACTTAGATTTACTGACGGGAGGGTTTCTTGTAGCTTTTTATTTAATGTTGTCGCCTTTTCATCCTCATATTTTCCGTAAACAGATAATGTCTTGCTTCTATCGTAAGTGAGGTCAATATGATTTCTCTCCCTGCAGGCCTGTGTCCGGAGGGCCACGCCGGTCGTATGATTGACGACGGTGACAACACGTACGGCGGCAAGTACGTGGTGAACCCCAGCGGTGGGCTCATCTCCAAGGGCCACCCGCTGGGCGCCACCGGACTGGCCCAGTGTGCCGAGCTCTGCTGGCAGGTGAGGGGCCGGCGGGGGGCCAGCAGGCGCGCCGGGCACGTACGGCGCTGTGGAACTGTGTGGGTGACGTCAGCGGATTTTACGCACGGCGTATTCAGGTCACCAGGGTGTGTGTTTTGGGCACCGTGGTGTCGCTCACCTCAAGTCACGTAACTCGGCCGACGGGGTAAATAAAAACGCGAATTCAGCGACGGTGGAACGACCAGTATCTGCCTTTCGATAAACACATACGTTTGCGACTGTAACACATTGTTTGCTCTGTTTGCAACGTAGCTATTCCCTACGTGTTTCGGTGATCGTATTTGTTGAAAGAGAGTTACAAAGGCAGCCGCAGGCAGGTCGCGGTGTTGAGAAACGTTGTCAGCTCAAAAGAAAGCTGACAAAACATGTATATGAATGCGATTAGCCATGATTAGCTGGTGGTCTGACCTGTCAGATTTTCCCTGCAATCTTGCGTGTTGCGTGCGGCTCATGCGTTCACAAGACAGCCATAAACCAGTTGCAATAATCTCTAACATCTCACATGACCTTCAACCCTGGGTCAGGAAAGCCTCTGGAAATGACCTGGCGTGACCTGTCATTTCATGTCAAGCATCGCATGCTGTCGATCTTGTGTCGTGTGGCCTGAACGTAGATTCGTGTCAGTGATTGTCAAGCTATCAGTTTTACTGCCAATCTGTGAGAATTATTACCCGGTCAAACCCAGCCCTTGTTTGACTGACCTCAGGCCTGACATTAGATCTATTTCTGTTTGAACCTTACACATGGTTTCTGACATCTGGCCTTTTGCTCGACCCTCTTGCCGACTTGTAATCTCACATCTGGCCTTCTTTTGACGTGACCTCAGCGATGACCTGGGTCTCAGAGTTCAGACCTTATCTCTGATACGAATTCTACCTTGACCTGACCTGTCTCTGACCCTCTCCTTTCCTGTGTCAGGTGCGTGGTGAGGCGGAAAAGCGCCAAGTGGCGGGCGCCCGGGTCGGTCTCCAGCACAACATCGGTCTGGGCGGCGCGGCCGTGGTGGCTCTTTACAAAATGGAGACCGAACAGCCGTAAGTACCGCCGGAGGGGAGTGGTTGTCAGCTTTTGACTGTGTGGCGTTAGTAGTTCGTATTATTAATAGCATAGACCCAGATACTCATGTAGCTTTATACTTAGTTTTATAGCAGCGTTGTTGGCGAGACCTGTTTTGAGTTTTTTAAGGATTTTTGTGGAAATGACGGCAAAAAAATCGTACCCAGCGAGGTTGTTGTAAGTCTACCATTGACTCCGTCGTACGGGGCTCATGTTTCATCGTGTCATTTGTTTGTTCACAGTGTGAAAAGTTCCGGTGTAGTGACCGCTCACAAGGATGGCGCTGGTCTGAAGTCAACGCCCTACTTCGAGAAGCTGCAGAAGCTGATTGAACAGGAGGGGAAGGCCATTGTTGACAAGGTAAGCTCCATACATGACTTAAAATGAAGGTAGTCAGGCTGGCTAGCGTCGCTCTCAGCTTTACCTGAGCGGGAGTGTGTGCGTTAATGTACTTTTCGTCTCCGTTTTTTTTTTTTTGTGTATTTCACCCCGTATTCCCACCCTTCCCCATGACCTCACCCTTCCCCCTTTTGTCGTCAGATCGGTGGCATTATCGAGTTCCGCGTCTCGCCGCCACCGGGCCATAACGCCGCCCGCTGGACGGTCGACCTCAAGTCGGACGAGCCGGGGGTGTACGCTAACAGTCAGCGCCGCGCCGGCCTGACCCTCGAGCTGAGTGACGCCGACCTGACCCGTCTGTTCGCCGGGGAGCTCAGTCCCGAACAGGCGTACCGCCAGCAGAAAATGCGGTACATGGGCGATACGGGGCTGGCATTCAAACTGAGGAATCTGGTGGAGACGCTGCATGGCTACAGGGCTAAGCTGTAGGTCCGGGATTGCTTGGCGGGGAGTGATGGGGAGGAGTGGGGTGCTGACTGGAGAAGGGAGGGGACACAGCTCCGAGTGATAGGGAGAGTGGGTCGGTCCAACCGCCCGTATCCCACATCGGAGGAACATATACCCCCCCCCCCCCGGTCCCTCCCCGCTCCGTCGCTGCGGCCGGTGCCGACTGTCATCGTAGGGGTCTCACTGTCGTGACAAGGGGCAATGGTAAGGCATATGTGGGCGGCCTGGGTGGTTGCCGGGCAGTCTGCTTTACGGCGGCAATGTTGGGCTAGCGAGACAGCCGAGAGCTTATGTGATACAATGTGCTGAATTGTATATTTGGGTGTAGTGGGTAGTGATAGGACAGATCAGCTCAGCATGCGACACCGGCTTCACAAGACGAGTCGCCTTGTCCAGTCAATTATGTACAATAATGTGATTTAACTATTAGCTATTGAGATTGGCCTGCAGAATTCCGACGCCATTTTGGATACAGTCAGTGTGTCAAGGTTGAGTCGTGACCAAAATATTTACTGCAGCGGTTATTCCATCGTATGCTGCGCAATATGGCACACGATGCAGCAGATCCAAACAATGGTTATTGTTATTTGATAGCGGTTAGCGCCGTTAATTGTTATATAACAGCTATGAAGCAACTCGGCTTTGCCGGTTGTTTTAGACACAATAAACATATCAAACAATTTTATTGTGTCATAGACCTCTGTATACAGAGGTCTATGATTGTGTCCATTCCTTGTGAGACGAAAGCGGAATACGCCACTGGAACTGTTTTTTAATTAGTTGCCCAACATTGGGAAAAACTATGATAAGGCGACTGGCTTGCTTTTTTATTGGAACAAAAGCAATGAATAAATATGACAAATGTGCCAATATGCAATATGCATATGGCAATGTGCAATTGCTTGCGTTGCGTGCGCTCTCAGTAACGAGTAATCAATTCCCAGTCCCATCGGACCCGTTTCACTAAGTGCTGACCTTCACCTCACCCCATCAGGCTCTGACCACACGATCGATATCACCTGGCCGACCAGCGGGCTGTGAGATCATACCCGACACCGATGCCCTTCTACCGGGAGAAGGAGAGATTACCTGACATCACCACTTTTCCCGACCGACACCGGAAAGTGTCCGGATCAACGTAAAGAGATGGGCAATGGGCAGCCAGAGACGGACTATCCATGGTAATCTGTCACCTTACATATGTTATACTGCATTCACTTTCAAGGCATTTGACAAATGTTGCATCCCATGACACTAAACACACACAAATGCCCTGGTACCGAATGCGACAGCTACCAAGCGCACGCCTTTATACCCGATATTTGCAGTGTCACGGTGGTAGAGGTCCATGACCTCACCACCGCCGGCCTGTGCAGCAGCCGCTCAGAGGCTCCGGGCGCTGCGCACGGCGTTCTCCACATCCTCTATCTCACGCTTGATGGTCTCGATGATCTCCTGTTTCTCCCGCTCCTCTGCCTCGGTGAGCGGCTCGCTCTTCCCTCTCTCTTCCGGCTCCAGCTCCGGGTCGGAGCCGGGCTCCCTCGCTGCCAGGATCTGACCGGAGCCGCCGCTGCGAGCGTGAAACACCGGCTGGAAACCTCCGCTGCCGAACTCGTCCCCGCCGACGCGGAAGGCCCTGCTGGCGGCGCTGCCGGCCTGGCACTGGTAGACACCAAGGTGTCGCGGCTGAGGGTAGGAGAGCACGAGTCGCGAGCGTCGGCCGCCGCCGAACACGTCGCTCTCGACGAGGATATGCCGTCGGTCCCAGAGGACGGCGCCGCCCTCCGCCACCAGGCCGGGCCCGTCCGGCTTCAGCCACTGGATCGGCTGCCGGAGGAGAGGGGAGGGAGGGGGCGGTCAGTGGGGTCGGGGGCGCCGCCCTCCGCCACCAGGCCGGGCCCGTCCGGCTTCAGCCACTGAATCGGCTGCCGGAGAAGGGGGAAGGAATGAGGGTGGTTAGTGCACTGGACGGGTGAGTGAGACAGAGGCTGAGGCTAAGACTGAGACGGGTTCTGCAGATAAACCCACTAATAAATTCAGCGGGGGAAGGAGCACTTATCAGAGAACTGTATGGACTTGACGTTGATGGGTCACGGTTATGACGATGGAGGTCGAAGGAAGACCTTTTTATTAGCCTGTCGGGAAAAGACGAACTATCCACAGTGAGATGAATGAAACTCATGTACGAGCTACTGAAGATTCATCTTGCTGGCACTCCGAAATGATAAGTTTCTGACCTTGTTCCGTCGCGTTGAATCTGCCTTTTTTCTTCTGCAACGTTGCGACTGTAGCTACGAAACGGTTGAACGCTACGTATAATTGAAATGCCTGTCGTCGTGAGCCTTATTCAGCGTGTTTCTCCTACTGAGCTATTGTTTGAAAGCGCCACGTAGCGACCGTATGTACCCAGTGCGGAAACAAAGCATGCACGATAACAATCGTGTGTGTGCCGTCAACAGTCGCGTCGTGGGTGAGGTGTCCCGGTCTAGTGCCTCTCTCTCCCCCCCCCCTCCCCGATAGGGTACGGAACGGGGTCACGTACTGAGAATGGGGGAGAGGGTGAGGCGGGGGCTCAAAGCAGCTCGGGGCGCCGAGTCTGGTCCGTTCATCGGCAGATCTTTGAAGGCTCGAGACTGGAGACTGGAGACGGGAGAGTTCTCACACTTCTGTGGGATATCATCCTTCACTGGGGTAAAACCCGCCATAAATTTCGCATGAAGTGTCGCGTTATGTAAAGACGGCTTGCATAATACGTATCGCAATGCCCTGGAGGAAAACACAGTCCGAGCACGCGAGAGCACTCGGTCGTGTAGTTTCTCTCCTTCTACGCACCGTGTGAGCCCGGGGGTACGGCCACAAATACCTGGCGCGACTGTTCGCGTGAAGGTGACCTTCCGACGTGACGTGATGCGGCATATTCGCCGCTCAGGAACTCCAAATAGGGTGCCAAATTGCCGGCTGCCAGGTAATTGTGACATTGGGTGTGTAGCCTTGGGCGGGCATCCGCCGGTTTTCCCCAGTCGTCACCGGAGAGGCTGCCCAGCCACCGCGCCGGCACGGTAGGGACGGGGCCGGTGTTGGGTGGAGAGACGCGATAGGTGGTGTAGACTTTGGTTTGTGGACTGTGTGGTGTGGACAGAGGAATGCGGGCTGTGGGCCATGTGGCCTGAATTGTTAGCTGCTGAGTGATAAAAGTTTGCTGAGTACAGAGCTACCCATCGAGTCCCCACCTGTGGGTCGTGAGCTATCCAATAGGTATCCTTTCTGAGAACGACATCACCACCGGCCGATGGGGTGCGACTGGGGGTGAAGGAAAACAGCAGTGTGCCGAACCATGGGGTAGGTTGGGAATTGTTGATACGGGTCGGTGTCACGCTGAGAGCAGTGAGAGGGAAGCGTGGAGAATGCAATGCTAGTTATGCAGGCCGCGGGGAACACATCCGTACACCTGAGTCGCACAACTCGCACTGCTGGCGTTCGCGGCTCGCTGGACGGTTCTTTGATATCCCAAGGCTGCCTCCTCCCCGACGCGAATTAATTTTGCTAGTCCACCGGTTGGTGCCGAACAAAAATGTATTTGTTAATTGTGATATTGGTGTGTGATTCCGGACATCTACGAGTTATGAATGTACGGCGTTTACGTGCCCTTTATTTATGTAGTTCCGTTAAAACTTAAATGGCAATGCATTTTTAATGCGTGAAATGGTTGTCACTCCCACCCACTGGTTATGTACTTTACTATGCGAATGCTCAAACGTTTACTCGAATCAGTCTGAATGTTTCGTTTGGTTTTCTAAAAAGGCGCTGGGTAGATAGTAAGAAATAACCAGATTTCAGAACAAAACAATCACCCTGTTATCTTAAACTGCCACGTGCCGATAAAAGGAGGCATTAATTGCTCGATGACGGTGGAACGAAGAAAAGGAAATAAGACAAGGAACGTCTTAGGAACATTAGGCACTAGGCGGGGTGTTTCATGGTACTTTCCACATTGCACCGATTTCCTTCGAGCAGTATCCCGCATTCTCCCGTGCTGGTCAATAGTGATCACGGGAATTAACTTCATGATAGGTCCGTGAAGCCCACTCGACTCACCGTGGAGGCGTACCCCTGTACCACGCAGTTGAGGACGATCTTCTCCGGCTCGATGTGTACCGATGTGTGCGGTACGGGCGGCGGGTACGGACCGCCGTGGTGACCCGGGTACGGCGGCGGGTTGGGGTACACGGGCCCCGGGTACACCGGTACCTGGCTACCTCCTCCCGCAGGGCCTCGGCTAACATGTTAACTACTGGGGCAAATGCCCCAGTAGAGTCGAGGAATGCCCCAGTAGTGGTCAGCCTTTGCCCAACCTCCACAAAATGAGAATATATCAATATTAACGTACATTCTATCATTCGGGAGCGGTTGAAGACGTTTGTGGCAAGAAATCAGAGGCGGTGGAAGAGGGAGTGCACGGTGTGCAGCTGCACCCTCAATATCCATCCAAAAACATAGGCGTGCATTGGCAAACATATCTTTTTGCACCCCATAATCCATCTTCGTTCGAAAGAGCGTCAAGAATAATGACGAAATTACTTCGGCCACTTTTTTGGTCATGGGTCAAAGGTCAGGTCATAGTGAAGGCCAAATTACGCCGATTTTCAGGTCGAATATCAACAGTAAACAAGATGCAGACGCATAACTCGGGAACCAATTAGAGCTATAGCACCGCGGAAAAGCGCATTTGATTGCCATATTAGCATGCTTTCTGTTTATTTCTCTTAGATTTGACCTAACGTCAACGGTTTTGCCTGCAAGGGGCAAAAACTACCAAAATAGACGATTTTTTCGGGAACAGTTTTTCTGCCAAAACTTTTGACTCATGCCTTGCACGAGCTTTCTTTTACCGACATCGTATTCCTCTCGTCAAGACGCATCAAATTAACTGCAATTTGACATTGAAGGTCAACTTGAAAATTCGACCTAAGGTCAAGGTCATGATCTGACCGGAAATTGTCATGTTACATATCAGTCGATCTGCATCTTAGAGCCAAACACAACTAAGGCATTTTCATCGCTCTAGCATGCCTCTTTCAAAAGTTATTCGCGAAAAACTGTTAGATACCATTCGTGAACTGAGATGACCTCAGGGGCGTAAACAAGGGTCACGGGTGCTATTTTCATGTTCAGTGTGTCAAAGTCACGTACAGTGTTTTATAGTGTTTAGAATAACTTTCGTCCAAAAGAGGTGGATTTGAATTCTCTCCCATTGACTTCTAATAGAGGTCGCAAAATTGAGCTGACCTTAGGTCACCGATATGAAAATTCCGAGATATAAATTTTGTGCATGCTGTTGCCCTTATCAATCGCTGAAAGTTTCAAAGCGATCGGTCACTCGGTGTAGCTACGGCAACATTTTATGAGGTGAGGTCACTTGAAGTGACCTGGTGACCTGATCTTGAATGACCTTGGTCTGAAATTTTTACAACACGTGTAGAATTGATGGATGCTGGAGCGCCGCCGTTTCGGAGATATCCACGAAAAACCGCAGGAAAAACCGCAAATGCCCCCCCCCCCCCAGCAGGGCGCCAACCACACTTTGACGATTTGCCCCAGTAGTCAAAATTCCTTAGCCGAGGCCCTGTCCTCCCGGGTACCTGCGGGTACACAAGAGAGGTGGGTCAGGCGGGAATATAGTGCGTCATCGTAGTAAATTCATAAATTTTGAATAATGGGGATATCTCAATGTAGCCCGGCCGACAGGTGGCAGCACGAGCGAACCGGACACGCCGGCCTCGGTAGTGGCTATGGCGGCCGACGCATTGGATGCGTTTTGCGTGATTTACAGGCGGACGGAGCTAAGATCATAGCGCTTTGGATAAGTTTTGGGGTATTTTCCTTGCTTTCAGGCTTTGAGACGCTTATTTTGTGCCTCTCCGGCCGAGAGGGGCGGGTGCGGCTCCCTCCCCATAGGTTTTCCTGCGATAGATGGAAACAACAGGCGATAGAGAACTGAAACTTGACATCCCTGACCTTTCATTCAAGGCGGATCTTGTGACAACGACCGCATTTCGAGGCTAGGTCAGTTGACTGAACTATGACGTCATAAGTGAATCTCTGCATGGTCCTCAGATGTCGCAACTTCGCACCGCCTCAGTTCCAGAGGAATTTTCACAGGGAGAATAATGAAACCTATAGGACGTACTATTTTCCGGATGTCTCACATTTGCACATGCCAAATGTTTTCTAGAGGTCGCATGAGGTCAGGTCGGGCACATGACCTCACGTGACCCCATTAGCTTACTTCATAGGTAAGCTAATGGGAAAATATGGATACTGTTATTAGTCTGGTACCGGGAATAATCTAAAACTATTTCAATCACATGGCATTGTGATTTCATGCACTCTTTGCAAGGTCATATACTTCACTTTTGCATTGTCGACCTTTCGTTAGGTACGTAATTTTTAACGTCACTTTGGTCACAAGAGTTGTTCGTCAATAACTCACGATCCCATTGATCTAGAGAGTCGGTAGAGCGTAACACGTCGCTGGCAAAAGCAAAGTTGTGCCTTTCATTGTGTCAAAAATTATTAAAAAAAAGAAACTTTTCCGTGTCAAAAAGAATCATTCGACGGATCATTTAAGCTCATCGACGGCACGGGTAGGGTAAGATGCCTAATTAGCGACCCCCTTAATTTGAACCGTCATTGCTCACGCTCTGTGGGTGCCACTGTGTTACTGGCTTGATTTTCGGAGAGGTCGTTCATTTTTCTATTAAAATATAGTCATTTTCTGCCCCAATATTCACTAACTTATTTGTAGTGAGCATTTCGGCAAACCATTGCAAAAAAAAAAACGCTAATAGGGAACTCTTCCCGATTAGCGACCGGGGAGGGTCGCTAATAAGTCTATGGGTTTCCCCATATTAAAAATGGCAAAAAAATGCGACGCCTGAAAAGATGAAATATGATCTAAAAAAAGGTAACCTATACGCAAAGCACTCAATCATTCGAACAGGAACGTTTATCCAACACATTTACGTAAGTAAAAACTGATCGCGTGATGCACCGAAGGCGAAAAGAAGGCGGAAACCCAAATTTTGCGGGCTATCTTGTATGATATTCGAGGTCCGCGCTGAATTCGGCACCCCTGCAGTCAGTGACGACATTTGGCATCCCCCGCCACACATTGCAAGCTTCAGGAACACCTCATTTTCATTTCTCTCTTTTCCCCTTTCTTTCCCTTCTTGAGCTATTTGCCACCATGTCGGGCGCAAATAGGAAATACAAGCGAGCTCCGCTCGCTTCGCTTCACCCTCGTAGCCACGGTTTATGCAAAATTGGCCAGTTCGAGTGATGGCGACACATTTTTTAACGCCATGCTGTGCACAGTTGAGCGATTCACTATGGGAAAGCGGCAATCAATTAAAAAAGGAATGTCGATTCAGAATAAAAAAAGGTGCATCATCCTAATGTGCATCGCTTTTCATCAGAGAGGGCCCAAACACACACGTTTTGGATAAGAAACTCGTCATTTTTATTTAAACTCACCTGAAACGTCCCACCGGCCACCAGAAACATCGACGACCGGAAAATAATTAAATTTGATAACCAAAGTATGGCTGACCTTTTGACGATGTTTTTACCCCGTTTTCTCATGCCAGTTTTCCTGTAGGGAGGTAGGTCGCAAATCGGAAAGGGTCGCTAATTAGGCACCTTACCCTACTCGGTCATTTTGTCCCTCCTTTTTTCAGTGCAGTAAGTTGAATACTCCGTTTAAACGTTCTAACTCTACCTCACGAGCCAGAGGAACTTCAAAGGGCATACAAATAAGTGATGGCTCTTTTAAAGCTTTTAAGCAAGTTGTCGAAATTTTCCTCAGGCCAACATTTCAGTAGCTCACAGTGCAGGCCAGTATCAATAGGAGAAACACATCAGCCCACGCTTTCTTTGTGAGCTCGGACCATTTCTTCAGTCCATCGGCATCATATACCATATCTTGTAGTCTTAATCCACAATGACGACCGTTTTTTAAAGGAAACCAGTAAATAATTGTAAAAACTTTCGGAGATCCGCGTATCTCCACCGCAATAATAACGCAGCAAGCGGCCCTCGCGCCGCGCGCCATGTCTGAATCGACTCGTGAGACATCTGGCGGCAGAACCTGGTACTGCTTATTGCGCAAAGCCCCATTGGCCGATCATAATCAAAAAGCCGGCAACGACTGTGTCGTGAAGTGGCTACGACTGGCCAAACTAACCTAACACATTGGTAAAGCCACTCCTATGTTACATAATATTTCAGAAGTTCGAAACTTGTAGATTCATCTGGTGAATTAATGTTTGCCGTTTTTCCAACCGGTTTTTTTATTAACTGAAAGGTCGCATGCAACTCTGAACTGTCATCGAAACACCATGCGAACGAATGTCATCCTCAAAATATAAGCCTTTTCTTCTGTCAGTCTTTGCTACTGCCTCTGCTCTAATCGGATTGCGCCGAGGCAGGCCCGTCATCTGCGCTGGCCTCGACCGCCGCTGGCTGGTGGACCGGCCTTTTCCAGTCCCCCCGCGGAGACTGCCGGTTTGCCAGCGACTCGGGCCCGTTCAGCGGCGGCCGGCGGGGTATACCGTCTGAAGTCGTGTCTATCGGCGGGAGATAACTGCAGCGTCTGCCGACCCGCCATCCCACCAGCTGGATGGGTAGGCATCCAACTGTCAGACCCAAGGCCAGCTGTGTTTGGCAGCCGGCAGTATAGCGTTCAGCAGACGGCAGCAGCGTTCAGCAAGCGATAGTAGTATTCAGCAGACATTAGCGTTTAGAAGACGCGGTAGAAAGCATTCATCAGACGGCAGATGAGTTCAGTAGAAGGCAATGGCGTTTAGCAGACGGCGGCTGTTGAGCAGACGGCAATAGTGTTCAGCAGACGGCTCACGACAACACTCAGCAGACGGTAACACTTAGCAGCTTTCGGACAGTTCTTAGCTGACGGGTAGACGGTGAACGGTAGACGGAGGACCGTTGACTTTGGTCGATGGACGGTGGATAGTTAGTTGAAAGTATAGACCGAGGACAACGCTCAGCATGTGACAGACGGTGGCAAGTGGACGTTGGACGTTGGACAAAGTCACGGACGTTGCCGTGCCGTGTGTCAGACGGTACTGGGCTGTCACACCGCTGACCTCGACCGGCCGCTGCCGACCGACGACCTCTTCCGGGTCCAGCTAGGCGGCTAGGAGTTAGGACGGCCGGACGGCGGGACGGTCGGGTGATGGGATGATGGGATAATAAGATGAGCTTGATGAAATGATAATTTCGATGAAGTAGTGGGTAAAAATATGATAAACTAGCGTAATGAGCCTAAACCAAGAGTTAAAATGATGATCGAGATGTCGTAGTTAAATGCATGATGATGGAACCAACGAGAACGACGGTATGATTGCATGACATTTATATAACTGATAGAACGAAGGGACATTGGGATGCGGAATGATAGATATCTGCACTAATGCGAAATACCGTCCGAAGGCTTTTTTCGTTAGATTGAACCGGTATTTCCCTTTTTAGAAACAGGTTATCCTTGAAAGACGGATTCTCTAACTATAGGAACAGTAACGATATTTTAAGGCTATGACCAAACATTAGGCTAAGGAGCATTTCCCGAAGTAAAACTTGCATTTTTAAAGCTACAACACGCAGTCCACCAACGCATTGCAAACACACTGGCGGATTCAAGGGAATTCATATACGACCCCAACCTCCAAAATTCACTCACTTTCACCGTTTCCTCACATCAATAAAATATATATTTTTAAATTCGTTCTGAGCTATGCGGCAAGAAATAAGAGGAATTTAAATCCAAGAATGTTGCATATATAAATCGATAAACTTGAATTTAGGGTGTGCCCTCTTTTCCACAGCTTCGGGCTCCAACAGCACCTTTTTGGCCCCACATTTATCTTTCGTTATCACTATCGCATCTTTATCGTATCGCCTTCCGCCGCCCAAATGGATCACATAAATCATAGCTTTCACTACACGCACATGCTGTGCCGCATTACACCACTCGAGAGCATACTGTGCCGCAATACACCACTCGAGAGCATCTGTGCCGCAGTACATACACTGTTACAACGCTAGCCGCTAGCGTATAGCAGGCCCATTCTGATCACACTCATTGCATATGAAACATTCTTACTGTAGGAAGTAGATAACAGCGAAACCAATAGATGGCAGAGCGTTTTAGCGCGCCGTTTCAGGCTTCTTATGGTAACCTCATAAATCATACTGCTGAGTTTCGTGACTGTGTGACCATGCGAGCTTATCAGATCGACTACTGGTGAGGTGCCCGGTTTCCCTTTTTCGCGTGAAACTACATGTTCGTACACCGATAACAAGCCACGTCAACCACATAGCAAATTCCAAATACCACCGGCATCGTCCGAATCCGACATTGGGTATCGCGATGTGACATTGGAAGCGACGTAAAACGAGAAGGTCGAGAACGTTTGCCTTGTCATGTTCGTCGCACATGGCCAAAGACATCCTGTATTGCTCGGAGAATAGATTCGGATTAGTTGGAGCGTGAGATTGATTCACCGATCGGGGCGGGCGTGAGTCGTGACTGTCACGGAGTGTTACATCACGGAACTGGCTCACGCGGAAGGACGATGGTAAACATTTCTCCGTATCAGTCGCTATACATTTCACGGCCAGGTACGGTTGACATGTGGTTACATATGTCGAAACGTTGTGGCTTTTTGGTGGACATGCATGCACGTGATACAACCACGAGGGTTATGAATCCGGATTCATTCCTTTCGATAATGTGACATTCTGTCGCCTTCAGCGTGTAATTTCCATAGATGCAACATATTATTCAGAACAAATTTCTTAGTTATCAATAAGCATGAACGACATGCATTTGTCGCAATGTCTGTGAAACATTGTGCGAATAGGCCTCATTAAGCTTCGCTACTCCATCTACCGTCTTTGTATGAACATAATAACCTACCAATACAATGAAATATATTAGGGCATTTGACGCAAGCACGTTTTAAATGAAACGTGAAGCTGAAGCCTGCGGTGCGTCATGAAATTCGAGAGAACCTTTGGCCTTATATGATGTAGATATGCATTAAATAAGCACGCATCACTCACCCATTGCCGTGGTGGTGCCCGGGGTAGCCCGGGATCGGCACGAAGCCGCCGCTGTGTCTCCGCTGCACGTCGTGACTGAGCGGCACACCGCCCTGTTCCCTCCGTGCCGAGACGGCAGCCAGCAGCGACACGAGCAGCTCCGGCGTCCTCATGATGACACACTGAAGCGTCCGCCCCTCCTCCGACCCCTATATGCTCCGCGGCTCGCCCGCACAGCCGCCGGGAATGGGCCCGCATCGTCCGTCAGCCCCGGCCGACGGCGGTATATCGGGGGCAGGGCCGGGCCGCCGGCAGCCCGGTCAATGTCTAACCAGGTCGATCACTCGAGGTCAGTCCATCTGCAGGTCACGCGACCGTCCCCTGGGCAGCGCTCCGTATCAGCTTCGACCTATCTTCATGAAAATCGTGCTAATCCCCTGCCGAAAGGCGTTGATAATGATAAATGCACCGGCACTATCCATCCATTTTTGTTTCAATATTGCTCGAAAGCCTTTGCCATCATTAAGAATGTTAACGTCCATGACCCAGCATCAACCTCACATGCTTACTTTTGCGGAAGAGCTCGGTTTACTTATTCCGAAATTTCCGTAAACTGCCGCTTCTAGAGGCAAATAGCAAAACGGGAATTCCATGAAAGCGATGCATAAGTACTTCGCGCACTCATTTTCCAATAACACAAATACATTTCCTTATAAACACCGTCAGACGGCGTGGGCGTAAGATGTGAATCAGCTCAGATATTATCCGTTCATGGACGTACCGCGGTCGGTTTCCGCCAGCTTACACCTCACAGTTTCGCCCACGCACGGTCGAGTTTTTCAATCGGCTCGACAGCAGGAGGACCGGCTCACTGGGATCGAATGCCCGCTCCTCACTCGTCTTGTTAAGCCGGGCCGACCGGCATCCGGCTCAAGACGAAATGTGCTTCCGCCGATTTAGGGATTTAGGATTGTGAATGTAGGCTCCATTTTAGGATGGCGATGATAAATGTTGGCATGATGCACTGAGTTCGTAGCTCAAGCAGATTTGCTTTAAGAAGTCAGAGCATTCCGGCTGCCATGGAGACAACGTAATGGCTTGGACAAGATGAATAAAATATGAACGATGAGTATCAAGTGTTTCGATGGACGCTTGCACTTTCCCACGCTCCGTTCCTCTTAATAGGTAGTGGATGCGAGCGGCTGCATGTTACCGACATTTTTTTTTTTTTGAAGGAATCGTGCGTCTTGATTAGTACCATGGTCTCTGTCCAGACAGAGGGATTAAAAGGGTCTGGATTATATGGATGTCTTACATCCACGATAAATCAGATGAATCAGGATTAAATTGTCCCAAGAGGGTAAATATTTCTCGCGTGGAAAGATAATTAATCGGACTCTTGAGCCAATTAACTTTGACTGCGTGCACCGGATGAGATCCAAATCCGGTAAGCGGCTGAACGGACCATGTCACATTTAAACGTTGTCAGTAGTCATAAAGGTCAGTCTCGTGTAACTAACATTTATGATTTAATTAAAATTCATTAAATGAGCCTTGATCGATTCGTCTAAGCTGTGGAAGTTACGGCCGAGGATGTTGTTTTTGTCAGTGGGATATGCATTCTTACAAAGATGTACCACACAATCAGTGTTTGTAAGTCATACCGATTCCAGCCGCCGCGCTGGCTGCGTCTGTCGGTCACGTGACATCCCGATCAGAGTAGACACCACACCTCCATCGTCTTACACCTCTCCAAACACACCACCTGTTCAGGGCAGACATGTATTGCTCTATGAAAAACATTGTACTCACCTGACAGATGTAACATGGAATATAGCCACTCCGAAACACGATGCATCCATTCCACCCGAATAGCGATATAAAACGGCACTTCCGCGCAATATGTCTGCACCACGTGGTACGGGCTGCCATTCAACACGGGTAAGACACCGGCACACAGCGCCATGCCAGGGCATCATTAGTGTTATCACGAGCGTTTAGGTCGCAGCACACGTCGGCAGGTTTCAGCAGAGAAGAATGACTCTGGCTCTCTAACATCCTGTGTGTCTAAACGCTTCATTTTCGCTATCCATTTCGTGATGTCTTGCTCCTTCTCACATTTTGCGCTAATTCCTGTCTTCTTTACTACACCCATCGAAGTTTAACGGCCCGATTGGATTGCCATTTAAGTGGGGAAACAGATATAAAAGTTTTAAATTGACGGGAGGGCACGAGCTAAAAACAACTCCCTCGCGGCACATTATGCGGCACGAAACACCGACAATGTGTCTGTCTAGTCTGTGCCAGCCGGCGGACGTCACCAAAAGATTGTCACCTTGGGCCAGACAGTCTTCTATCGGGGCAGTGGGTCGTCGTCGTCCCGCGGGGATGTGCGCCGCACTATGCGATGTCATCACCCGCAGAGGGTAGTAGCCCCGCCCGGCTGCCACCGGCCAGTTCTCGTTCCATATCTGTCTCTGGGGTCAAGCCGTTCAGAACCTGGTGGCCCCCGGCCTGCGACGGTTCCTTCCGTTGCAGGTCTGTCCGCGACCCGGTCGAGGCACACCCTCCTCCGGCGACAGCATGCGTCCGTAGAAGAGCGGCACGCCCGTCTTGTTGTCGCGGATGACGAAGAGGAAGGGTCGGTTGGCGCGGAAGGTGGTGGCCAGCCGGTCGCGGTTGACCAGCGTGGTGGTCACCGCCGACGCCTCCGTACCGGCCTCGTGCACGTCGATGACGGCCTGGTGCAGCACCTCGCTCAGGAACAGCTGCCGGTCCGAGGAGAGCCGACCGAGCGAGGCGCGCGACTCCTGGAACAGGTCCGTGGCACCCATCTCCTGCAGGATGTCCCGCAGCGCCAGCGAAAACTGCATCTTGAACCGCGGCAGCCACACGGAGAGGTTGGCTGGCCGCATGTCGTCAAAGACGCGCTGCAGCCGGCCGCCGGCCAGCTGCTGCTCCAGCTTCCGCAGGGGCTGCTCTCCGGCCTCGTCAGGCACCAGCACCACCATGGCGTACTCGGCACCGGCGTACGGCAGCGCCACGGCCGCAAAACCCTCGCGCGAGTAGCTGACGAACGGCACCGTCAGCTCGGCGAACATCATCGGCACGCACACCTGGCTGCCGCGCTCCAGCGTGAACGTCAGCGGCTTGGTGTCGGCGGGGTCGAACGGCGTCTGCCACGAGCTGTTGAAGTACACCACGTTCGCGCCGATCATGCGTGTGTTCCGCGGCGGTGGGCTGTCGAAGATCTTTTCGATCTGTCCGTTGGTGTGGTCACGTACCCACAGATTGATCCGTCGTGCCGCCGCCGCTGGGTGCTTACCAAACTGGAGCTGCTCCACTCCTGCCTGGTAGAAGTCACGCGCCTGTCGCGCGAACTCCCTGTCAATCGCGAACGCCGAGTCGGTGAAGATCCGGTTGGCGATTTGGACGTTGACACCGCGGGTCTCTCGGCGCAGCGACTGAAGCTGAATGCCGCTCTGCTGGTGAATCAGCAGGTCATCCACCTCGAACGGGTACTGCAGCACCTGTCGCAGCTGCTCGTACGTGTTGTCAGCGGCTCCCAGCAGCAGCAGGTTCAGCACGCTGACGATTGAGAAGGGCGAGATGACCACGTTGCCGCCGCCGATCCGGTCACCGAGTGCCGACGTGAAGCGTAGGATCGACTGTGTGATGGAGAAGGGCGGAGCCCTCGTCGACGGCGGAGGGGGTCGCGGCTGGGCGGCCAGCTGCCGGCGAGGTCTTGACGCCGCTGTCGCTGCCATGGACAGAAGGCCGGCAGCCGCAGCTACAGCCAATAACGCACCTGTCAACATAGGATATCGAGCGTCACTCGAAGACCAGGAGAGAGTGGGGAGACTATGGAGAAAATGGGGAGACGGTGCAGGGTACTGTTTTGCCGCAACACAGATGGTCACAGATGAGTCGATAACCACACAAGTGAATAACCAGAACATCTACGAGGCCTATGTAATGGTGCATGAATACTGACGTTTTCTCTTTATACCACCCACTGTTTATACATTGCACAGTCCGTATAAAGAATTGCCACATATGTCACGAATGAACAGAGCCAAAGAACGTTATTCCAGCTCCCGGACCTGAGTTCCAATCACATTATCATCAGACATAGCGGATGACAGCGGAACTCAGCAGCACCATCTCAATAGCCGACAATCAGGCCATGGCCACCTGCCCGTAAGTCTTGCATGGTACATACGGAAGGTCCGACCGTGCACTTTGAATGGTTCGACGGCCGAACGGTACTTCGGTGGTCGCACCCGGTTACACACAATCAGCATAATATGGAAAAAGCCTTGCGGAGAATCTGTCAGCTCGCTCGATGCCGCCGACTATTATCTGGGTGCGGCCGCCGAGTCCACTGAGTGCTTAAGGTCTGTTTGGATATGCCGCGGAGACCGCGGTGCCCTCGGAATTCCCAGATCGGCCCACCGCCGGTCTCCAGTCGCGTCCGACACACCGGGTAAAACGTTTGAAGTTAATGGCGCCGGCGTATGCAAAGGGCCACTTATCAACAAGGAACTTTGACAGTTAATTCTAAACGACTTTGTAATTTGCGTTAACGAGCAAGGGGAAATCGGGCGAGAGCACAGCATCACACAGAGCTAAGCATTGCCATGCTTTCATTCGCTATTCAATGAGACTTGAAATTCAATCTGTAAGCCATTTTGCCTGAAAGTACAGTAGAAACATTCACAATAGTTCCCGATGCATCATATTGTCTTTATCTGATGTCCTTTTTCAGTAGACGTGCATATCGGAATATCCAAGGCGTAATTTCTATGCATATAAATTATGGCATGGGTTTCTCGAAACGTAACATCAGTCACTGTCCGTTACCTATATCTCTAGTGCGATCGTTTTTACGAGAAGTTATATTTTCGCCAGTACGATGGTCGAAATGACACGCAATATAGCGTGTTATTCATTCATAAGATATTAAATCAGTAATACGAGCCCTCTGAAGCCCTCGTAGCCTTCTGAATTATCAGGTCAGGATATTATTGAACCCAAAAATAACTATGCATGGTAGCCAAATTTCCCGCACCCAATTTTTTTCCGCTCATGAAGCCATCAAACGACAGCATCTGTTTTCAAACGTTCCAACGGGAGCAGACATAAAAGGATTTACAACAAATTTACATTGGCATGGAGAAGTTCCAACTCGGTTTGTCCCGGCTACCGTGGAGCCTTTTTACTGCAGATAACTCGCCGAGTGCTTAATGCACAGCTCAGGCCAGCTGTGCACAGCACAGCCCTCACATTACACTGCAGTCGAGCCAACAGCCGGTTCCTTGAGCCGCAAGGCTATAATCCAATCTAAGCTGGGGGCTGTCTAATTTCTTATCTTCTCTTATTCAAGGTCAGCCGCCACTTCATAACAAAGCCTTCGCCGAATCGACCGTGACATGCCTTAGACATAAATCATTGTGAAAAATAGGTACTTATTTCTAGCGTTACTTATTTACTTTTCCATTATGGGAGCTTAGGCAACACATCTTCGTGAGTAGTGTAAACCTGACTTATTTGACATGTGCCACTATTTATCCGTTCACTTTGTTTAACTCTGTTTATCAATGGGTTATGTCCTTGTCAACGTTACATTGATTGAAACATGTACACATACATTCAAAGCGATATACATTCCAAATTAATATCACAACGAAATGCATGAAAGCTTTTTAAAATACAATATAACATTCCCTTCAGAAATTACATTCTTCATAGTCAGGGTTCAGAAGGGGCCAAGCGGTGACACAGTTTTCAAATACCTAAAGGCGCCTTATATGCATGACCTAACCGAGGGGAGCCTGACCCGCCCTATATACCTGGTAAGCTGGCCTGATGCATCGCCCGTGTTCAATGGAACGCTAGGGGACCCCGGTATCGCTAAGTGATACTCTAACTGGTATCGCTAAGTGATAACTAAGCTAAGTTATGCATAGTTTGTCTTTATCCTTCATCCCTAGCTCCTTTCTGAGCTATTTGAGCTACTCTATGTCTTAGGCTAAGTGCAACATGGTTAACGTGCATCCATAGCTTACTTCTCGCACGGAAAACCATTGCATCGTCTGGATTTTTGAATCGATGCAGTTCCTTTTTATCATTTCTGTGACTGAAGTGCTTTGCACGTACGGACTATCCGTATGCTTGCTTGGGCCTTTGACACATTTCATCACTTAAGCGTCCATGTTGGAACCATGGGATGGCTTAATAAAGGAGCCATTTTTTCCGAATGTAGGGCACTCCAGGCTTATTTATTGATGAGGGCGTTGTTTCCTTGGCTTATCCATACAGCACCGTTAGCCTAAAATGCAAGGTCGATAACAGTTTCATTTAATCTTCAACGTCGTGCTTTTTACTTCCAGCCAAACACAAACCTTTATCTGTGGGTCCTCTATAAGCGATGTAAGTTATGTCTGACCGCTACGTCACTTCGACACCTATCTAACGCCTAGTATTACGTCTCTGGGGGTGCCTGTGTGCACAAAGCCTATGCTCAATTGCCTAAGCAATTAAGCTTAGATGGGTTGCTTCAGAGCCAAAACCAGTAAGGAAAGCTAAATGGAGTGAGTCCAATCGTTCGGTAATGCCTACCACATAATGGTTCTTACGGATGAAAACGATTCAATTGGGCTCACTGGGCTGCGTTTATTGAACTTATTGTTAGATCGTTTTTTTTTATCAATAGTTTGTATTGCTTCAAACATACAATTTAGGCAGGCTTTGACACGGTACATTTTTTTGCAAACCTTAAAAGGTCTGATACTTGGCTGCAGTAGAACACTGTAAACCAGCTTCTTCATGAAAAACGAACATGTAAAACGTTATTATGTAAAACACATCCCCGTCAAACCCCTAGCGACCTCCCGAGCCCACCCCCTCCCCAGTCATAGACGGCAGAACGGGGAGGGCACCGGGGCACCGCGCCCCCTTTAATTTTTGCATTTTAACATTAGTCCTATGGGTGTTGCATGGAAAGAATGGGACCAAAAGTCGGCAGTGCCCCCTCCATCCTTAATTGAAGGTGTTCCGCCGCTACCTTCCCCAGTCCACTCCTGCGCGGCTCACCTGCTCTCATCCTGACCGGGATCCGGTGCTGCTCTCCTCCCAGCAGCTCTCTGCACTCTGCTCGCTCTCTCACTCTCTCCCGGCTCTCTCAGCTCGCGCCAGCTGCCTCCCCGCCCCTCAGACCTCGACTGGCGGCGACTGCCTACCGTCCCTCTCCGGACGGCGGCCCGGCTCGGCTCCCCGGGTAATTCCAGTTCCGCGGCGCGGGTGACGTCACTGGCCGCCGCTGGGCCGGTGAGCTGCTGCGCTGGCAGAGGACGCGCCGCCGCTGCCGCCGCCGCCGCTGCCCTTGAACGAGGCCGGCGGCCGCTTCAGCTGGCTCAGCGTGGCCCGAGCCGGCCTTCCGACACGGAACTCGTCCCGAGTCCCGACTCCCGGCCACCCGGGGCGACTGGCCCGGGGCTGGAGGTATCACCCCCGAGGATGGTCTTAAACAGGTGTCGGTGCACTCTATATAGCGCCCCAAAAGTACCCCTTGACCTGTTTCGTGACACGTCATATTTGTGGGGCTCGTTTTCATGCATCATTTTTGTTCAGTACCGAACGGTTGGAGGCTATCAAATCTAACGTGCTTCCAAACCATTTCTGCATTAACGTAGGCATGATCATTTCATGCTATCTTGTAACCGCATTGATGAAGACTAAGGAGTAGTACCCAACTCACTTCAAAAATGCTCATGTGAATTTGCTACGAGATCGCCACAAAACAACATGTGCCCCGCAGTGGACTTCCGTGTCCTGCTGAGAGGGATGTTTGAACATTCCCCGTGTAGCTCTCGGCTGCTAACCCACATATTTGTACTTTTTGTACTTGTAACTGACGTGAAAGAGTGAAAAGCCATGGTGAGTGGACTTCTTTTGAATAAATCTGAATTCTGAATTCTGAATTCTGAATATTGATAAACAATAAACCGTAATCGGCGTTTGAAAGGTCGTCAAATATCGATAAGAAAATAATTCCTAAAAGTTAACGAACTGGCATAAAAGTGATGGCCCGTGATTCAGAAAGATCAAAAAGCTATATTTCCCAAATTTCACCGATAAATATTCACTGGTTTTCAAGATATTGGACTTTTACTTTTGTTTACTTTTTGGGACCTCCACTGTAAGTTCATTTGGAAGCAATAATTTGGCATGCTAAAAGCGCGGCAGACGTTGCGTGCAAAGCAGTATATGCCACCACGTTTTACCGATGGCTTTAGTATAAGGTGAAAAAATCGTTAGATCTGCGCTGACGTCACAAATTCTAAGGAGGCATTCAAATGCATTAGCCCCGTAGAATCCGAAATCTGCAAGTTTGAAATTATATATATATATATATATATATATATATATATATATATATATATATATATATATATATATATATATATATATATATATATATATCCGAATTAAAGCGATTCTCGATGTTGTGAGTGCCCAAACCGGTAAATGGAAGCCAGGGACCCCAAGTTGGCTATCTCTACTCAAAACTAATGTTAACCCTCGCACGTGTAGGGGGGGGGTCGGATGGACCCCCCATGGTTTTTCGCGAATAACTCGCGTAAAAAGCGGCCGATCGCGACGAAACTTTCAGTACCCTCGCATTGATCAATTTTACACCTACCCTGAAAATTTCATGACCCTGACCCAAATGACCTCTGACCTGTGACCTCTTTTCCGAGACCATGTTTGGCCGGAATCGCGATTCCGCGTATGTCGGCTCGCATTAGCCGCGCGTTTGCAAGCTTTTCGTGGTTTCAAACGTTCAAACATGTGATTTGATGTTGCTCCCATGCATTAGGGTGGGTGTCAAGGTCACCTGAATGTCAGGTCAGGTCATTGACCTCTGGTGACCTCGGGTAACCTCGGTTCACTTTTTTCGAGTTTTACATGTTTCTAGGCTAGTTTTTGGAGCTGAATTCGAATTTAGCAACCATTTGAACATTTACGAAGTAGTTTTGGGTCCTTCGTAACATGTTACGAAGCTGTCAGAGGCGGTTGTCACGTACTACGAATACCCGTCACGACCCCTACTGGTTGACCTGACCTGACCTGACCCGACCTGGTCTAAATGCTTAAAGACATTATCTGTGATCAAAACTAACACGATATTCGTGATCAGCACCCCGAAAAACCCCTTAGCAGCCACACTTTACGACTTTCTAATAGGTCCCGATTTTCCCGACTTTGGGTCATTGATCTGACCTGGAAGGTCAACCAATGACCTAGGACCTTAAAATTGGGTATCATCGGCTTCCTCTCGTCACGGGCAACACGCTCGTTTTTCCGCGAAGCTCTAGCTCGATCAGGGGCCAAACGGCAAGGGGGGGTCCAACCGACCCCCCCCCCCCTACACATTAGAAGCTGGCAAACGCCGCACACATTAAGGGTTAACGCACACATTTGAGGGTTAAGGTGGGATGGCTACCTACTTCAAATCACTAGATAGTAGATATCCTCAAAAGTTGATTGTTCCTTTTGTGCATTTTATTTACGGTCATCATTTTCCCCTTGGCATCATTCTCCTTTCATATCAATCATATCAGTCGACCTGTATTGAGACAAACACATCAAATGCGTTTTCACTGCTCTAGCATGCCCCTCTATCATAAGAAATTACCCAATACCAGTGATGGCGACCTTATCAATTGTATTGCATTTTATTTTATTTACATTTAAGAGCGATCCACATACAAAATGAGTGGCGATTACTGCTCAATGATTATGGTAGTCGTACCTAAATAATGTTTTGGGATTAAATGGGATTCCACCTCTGGTAAAGTCTCGGTTTAGAAACGTTTTCAACGTGAAAGAAAACTCTTAGCAAAAGCTCGCCTTTCTCTTGTTACTTATATCGCGCACTGTCGATGTTCCAAGCGAAAATGCCGGGTTGGATGACCTGTGACGCCTGTACAGCGGGAATCTCCTACTGAGCGTGCCGCCTCCGTGGCCCCTCTGTGGTCCGACCCTGACCTCTCCCCCGCGGGATTTCCGCACGTCGTCCGCGACGGGACGCACCGGTGCTGCGGCGACCCTCTGTTAGGCGGACAGGACGTCCCTCTGCAAATGACGGCTGCCACCCCGTGTACACGTCAGTCACAGATTGTCATGCTGTAGATAACTAACTTAACTGGCTGACCCGCTGCAGATGACAGGTGATCCTCTGAATATGACAGGTTGGCCCTCTGTAAGTGACAGGCTGACCCCTTGCAGGTGACAGGCTGCCACCACAAAAAGAAACAATCCCACACAGCCCGTTTGATGAGGGCGGCCTGTGGACGAAATATAAATGCACGTTTTAGTTTTTGAACCTCACTTGGTACCTAAATATAAATGCGTATAAGATAATTAAATAAATTAACGTTAATTACTATGTGCTCTTCGCACGAGCGCTTAACAGAGATACTGTACAATGATCGTGAAGTATTTACAGAGTTAATTTTACTCAGGCTCAGTAGGTATTCCTGGGGTCAGTCATTTTGCTTTTATTTGTTGTGATAAGAAACATTTAAATTTTAACCTTTTTCTAAAAATCTAATTAAATAGACATTGATTAAAAAATCAACGTAGTATTTGAGATCCATTCAAACCTGATGACGGATTAATCTCGACGAGAAAGTTTTGAATTCTCAGGAATGTGTTTCATGTGCTTACCTATGTGCCGTGCACATCTGATTCATTGCTGCTCACAAGCGTTCGCGGTAAGCACGAGACCTACCAGTTCTCAGCTTCCTCACCAGGTGTCTCTGCCGTGCTAGCACTGGGGTGGGTAATGCCCTGGTCGATGTGAATAGAAAAATACTAAAGCTTCAGTGCTTGCTTACGCTCAATCGCAACTACTGTTTAAAAACTAAAAAAATGTGTCAATCCCTCACATGCATAATGTAGCCCTGTCCTGTACATGTTATATCCTGGTGCTGCCGCCCTGTACACAAATGCAGTCTTCTGGTGATACCGTCCTTCACCAATGCAGCCTCCTGGTGATATCTTTCTGTGTACGTTGCAGTCTCCTAGTTATTCTGTCCTGTACACAATGCAGTCTCCTGGTGTTACCGTCCTGTGCACATTGCAGTCTCTTGGTGATACCGTCCTATATGCACTGCAGTCTCCTGTTGATATATTTCTGTATGTGGTCTCCTGGTGATACCATTAGGCATTATGTGCACACAAGTCTCCTGGTGATACCGTTATGTACTCATTGCAGTCTCTTGATGATACCATCCTGTACACAATGCAGCCTATGGTGCTACCGTCCTGCATAGGTTGCAGTCTCCTGGTGATACCGTCCTGCACACGCTGCAGTCTCCTGGTGATACCGTCCTATATGCACTGCAGTCTCCTGGTGGTACCGTTTTACACATTACAGTCTTCTGGTGTTACCATCCTGTGCACATTGCAGTCTCCTGGTGATACCACTCTATTTACAATGCAGTCTCTTGGTGCTACCGTCCTATACACGTTGCAGTCTTTTAGTGCTACCTCTCTGTTCACAATGCAGTCTCCTAGCTATACCGTCCTGTAAGTACACAATGCAGTCTCCTGGTGATACCGTCCTGTGAAAACATGCAGTCTGGCTCTTGGTGATACCGTCCTGTGAAAACATGCAGTCTCTTGATGGATGACGACCGTTCTGTATATGGCGTAGTTTTGACAATGCAAAATGTGGTGGCTTGGCTTTTTTTTGCACGAACAGCACGTCACAAACATTATACGTGGACTCGAGGCATGAACGATGCATGTAGTATGGCACTTATGCACTTATCATGGAGCAAGGAGTTCAACTTCTTCAACGAATTTTAACCCTCGCATTCACAGGGGTTGATGTAACCATTCCCTAAGGTTTTTCGCGAATAACTCGCGTAAAAAGCGCCGCCGATCGTGACGAAACTGTCAGTACCCTCGTTTTGATCACTTTACACCTATCCTGCAAGTTTTATGACCCTCACCCAAATGACCTTTGACCTGTGACCTCTTTTCTGAGACCTTGTTTGACCGGAATCGCGATTCGGCGTATGTCGGCTCGCATTAGCCGCGAGTTTGCTGTCTTTTCGTGGTTTCAAGCTTTCAAATATGTGATTTGATGTTGCTTCCATGCATGATTATACGGTGGATGTCAAGGCCACCTGAACTCTGAAGGTCAGGTCAGGTCATTGACCTTTGATGACCTCGGTCCACTTTTTCGAGTTTTACATGTTTCTAGGCTAGGTTTTGGAGCTGAATTCGAATTTAGCGACCATTTGACCATTTACGAAGTAGTTTTGATGCCTTCGTAACATGTAACGAAGCT